TTACTTACCAAGATTATAGTAGAATTAGAAGATTCATATATGTAATTAGTTTAATTAGATGCTGAAAAATCAACTTATAATAGTTATATATTGTGTATCTATTAGGCGGTGAGTATACATAATTTGTCCGATCGTTCAGAATTCATCCTCAAAGTTTGTCACCAATACCCTTAATCGTGAACAATATTTGTAGTTGTTTGGTTATGGGCTGATGACAACACTAGTGCAAGAAAAACTTGGGGACAAGATTTACAAAACCACTTAACATTTGTTATTTGAAACACACCATTTCTAGTGAATTTTTTACTACTCATTTCCCAATAAAAATACGTTATATTCTCCGAAAAAATATTTAAAAAATAATAAAAACTATGTTGGAAAATCGATTAATTATTTAATCAATGTAATTTAATTTTAAATTAAATTCATAATGTTCGGAACCGATTATTCAATGAGTTGAAATGTATATGGGTTGTATGGTAGTTATCAATAATATGGTTAGGTATATGAATGCCAGTAAGCCACAAACACGCGTGCCACCTACCCGAACAAAATAATGACACAAGTACACGGCATGAGTTTTGTCTCCGGCTCAAAGGTCTTGGTCGTGGTCGTGGGTTGGACTTGAGTTTGGTGAATGCTAGATTTGACGAAGTCTATTATACTCCGTAGCCAAATCTAAACAACAAAATATTTTTTTGAAGCCCAAAAAAATATATTTTTGTGCAAAAAAAATATAGCCCATAAATTATAATTATATACATGTATGATAAATGATTCTTTGAAATTCAAAGTTCATATAATGTATTTATGACCAGAATTATGTTTGGTTACCGGCAGTTGCGGCTCGGGCATTTAATGCCGGGCAGTTTTGACTCGGGGTGGAGTGCCTATAAAAGGTCATCTCCACACCCTTTCAAGACACACCAACAAGAAGAGTTCTCTCTTCTATTCCTTACCCTTTTCCAATAATATTTTTTTGCGACTTTTCGGTTAATATTCCGAAAACAATCTTCTCTCGTTTAGCCTTCCGACATAGTTAAATCTTCTTACTTTAGTTCGTCGAAATTTCTAAATATTAGGGTGTCACCTAATTCGGGGATGAACTTCGTTTTATCATTAAGAACATTATGCCACGAATAGGAGGCGCTATCGGAGCGTATTTGGTTTTATGGAAAGAAGTTTTATCTCGATTTGACGTGATTATCGAATTTATTTCAATAAATTATTGTGACATCGAATTTTATTTTTTGATAATTATTTGATACTCTTGATATAATAATTTCCAACAATCTATTTTACTAAAAAAAAAAAAAACTTACAATTCTCACTAACTAACAATAATAATCCCACTATAAACACTAGGAGAACACAACCTCAATGTGTTATGTTAATCATTTTTCTTTTGTTTTAGGGTGTGTTTTTTTGGGAGTTTGAATTTTGATTTGGATTTTGTAGGAATGTTGAAGTTAGGATTTTGTATTTGTGTTTGGTTAAGGATTTGAATTTTGTAATGATTATGTTTGAAAAAATTATTATTTTATTAAAAAATATTATATTGATGTGATAGTTTAAATATTTTAATATTTAAATATTTTAAAAAATATGATTAATAAATAAAAATATGATTTGATTTGACATATATATATATACAAAAACCCTAAGCCCGCTAATACACTCAAGACCACCGCCCACCCCACCCCATTTCTTCTTTCCTCTCTTCTTCCTGTGGCGTCTTCTTCCCTTCCTTCTTTTCTTTCTTTTTTCTTCTTCTCCTTCTTTTTTCTACATTGTGCCGCCACCTTCCTCCCAAAACATCCTGTGAGTTTTTTTTTTCTTTGATTCTTTCTCTGCTTCGGTATTTTCATCATTTTTGTTAATCTTTTTTTTTCTTTTTCTTTTTTTTCAATTTTACAGCTTTTTCCACCGGTGGTCGCCGACACCGTCGCCGTCATTTCGTTGTTCTTTGGCCGGATTTGCAGTGGCGTATATTAAAAAAAGAAAAGAAAAATAAAACTGAAAAATAAAGTGTGGCAGTGTACGGCCAAATAGTAAGAGTATAGGATTTATAGGGTAGGTTTTTGAGGATTTGTAGGTTAAGGATTTGAATAGTAATCGCACAGTAAAATCCTGTAGAAACTCTATAAACAAAAGCACCTTTAATATATATGTATATATATTTCTCTTTAATATTGTGAAAATAAATTATGGAAACTGGATAATTATATTATTTTAATATCAAAATAAAGGGTCTATATATAAACAACTTACCCCGATAGACTCAAATCTAAATAAACTGATTATCTAAAATATGTCGGCATCCTCTCAAACTCAAGTGGTATAACAGAAACCAACTTGAGTTTGCAAAGAGAGATCAAAGATGATGCAACCACAATCGTCCATCATGCCAAAATTTGAAGAAGTGCTCTCAACTGAAATAGAGTCGGAAACACAGAACTCTCACCAAAACTAGAAAACACGGAACTGGAAAATAAGAACTTTCCATTGGAAAATACGAAACTCTCACCGGAGACCGGAAACACAGAATCGGAAACTCTCAAATCTAAATAATTTAATCTATGGATAAGACCAAATCTAACTCTATATTTACTAAATCTAAATATGAATATCTAAAATATCTCAACAAATACTTTACATCCACGGCTAATTATGAATTAGAAAAGATAGTATGTATACAATAAAAAGTCTTCTAACAGGTTAACTGTTTTACTTTTGCACACCCCACCATCAATTGGAAGTTATTAGTTTTCTATGTATTTATTTTGTAAATAGCCATTGTGGTGTGACCCTTTGTGTATGTTATAGATACATTTTTAAAAACACACTATAAAGCATAAAAAACTTCAGGAGGGAAGGAAAGTTGACCATGTTGGTCCCTAAGATCACGCCTGGATGCATTGTAATGGGCATAAACATTGATGATCGACACTGGGCGAGCAAGATATTGGAGTGCCATCCAAGAAAAAAATTGCCTTTTTTGATTCAACAGGATTTATATAGTAGCACGAACAATCCCAAAGTCAGAGGAGACCTCCAAATCTTTCCATAGGATAGAAGCAACGGCTAAGTTGATGCTATGATGGAATCATTTAAGGATTGGACCTTGGTTTCTTGCAAAAACCCAAAGGGGTGCAAACTTGCCAATGAGAATCCTGATTTCTGAATGCTTTATGCTGGAGAATGGAAGAACTACAAGAAGCAGCGGTGAATAATTGAATCTGGAGAATCATCTTCTACCTGGTTTGACAAGCTGTGAGTGGAGTCATTGAGGGTTTTTCAGTAGAGTTGGGCTCAGAACAGATACGGTTGTGAGTACCGAGCTAAATACGCCAAAACTGAGGACTGGGGATTGCAACAAACTTGATAGAGTTCTTATGACTTTACAAGCTTCTCAGGCATCCTTAGAACTGATGTAGGCAAATTTCTTGGTGCTGGGGCTGTGTTGAATAAATGGGAATAAACTATACAATACAGGAGACATGTTGATCATAGCCCCCCGTTCTTTATCATTGTTGGCCAGATTTATGTTTCCAAGAGAGGAAAGAAGTTTTTCTGCCCATGTATAGTCTTTCCTGGATTGCTTACGTGGATAATCATTTTCCAGGTACCTGTTAGGATAGGGATGAGTGGTTCGGGCTTGGGGTAAGCTGGAGTTAAAGGATGGAGAGAATTCTTGATTTTGGGATAACAGGGAGCCTAAGTGCAGACAAGAAAGTTTGGTGGTGTAGTTGCTGAAGATTTGGGGCAATGGAAGGGAGGTCTCTGGGGAGCATCCTAGATAGATAAGTCCTTATACCCCCTCCTTATATTATTCAATGATTATCTAAGAAACGTCTTTGATGAATTTATTAATAAGATGCTTAAAAGGAAACACAAGTAATCTTGTGTTTTGAACATGTTCCTATATGTTGCAATATATTTTAGATAGATATTTTAGTTGATACTCCCTCCGTCCCATGTATTATGAGCGTATTACTGTAGATACGAGAATTTAGGTAAAATGTGATTAGTAAATAATTAAGAAGTGTATTAGTAAAAATAATTATTGTATAATAAAAATAATTGTGGATTAAGATTAAGATAACTAAATAGTTTAATTAAGATTAAAAAAATTATAAAATTTGAAATTTAAAATGAAATTAAAGTGTATAATTATATTTCCAAAAAAGGAATGGACAAATTATGTGGGACGGACGAAAATAGAGAATAGGGACAAATTATATGGGACGGGGGGAATATTAATTAAATTTATTAGTTATCATATAATTATATTTACTAGATTAGGTTGTTATTATCTAGATATGTTACTAGATTTGGTTGTTACTATTTAACTTTATCCTTTTGTAAAAGGTCTATAAATAGACTTTAATTTCATTATCAATATATAAGTCAATGTATCTACAATTCCAATATATATATTTCATGACGATCAAAACACATTAGTGGGGACTCTCAATTCCATAAGCCTTTGACACTAGCATATGCACTTGTGCGGACCATCAGTTTCCATTAACAAGTTGATGTTATGGATTGTCAAAACTCCGATAAAGGCATTGTCAATTGTATGAATTGCTGTAATTTGAAGTAATGGCTGTAACTATGAAATGATGGTTATAAGTATGGGATATTACTGATTTTCATTGGCTTGTAAGGTTTGACATATCACAAATAATGGATGAATTTCTTGCATGTGCCTGATTTATTGAAGGAATACCTTCAGTTTTAGGCATCTGAACATCTTAACAAATAATTCTTAACTTTTTGTGTTCCTTGTCCTCGTTATTGTATGGGATTGGAGTGATAATATTATAGTTACAATTGGATGAAACATTTTATAGGATGAAACAGGCATGAAACCACACTAAATTCTGAATTTATTTATGATGCCTCATATCGTTGTACCGATTTTTTATCATCATTGTTGCATATGGAACAATAGTAGCTTACTTCTAACAGTTTTTGTATACTTGGGTTGATAGTCCTGATGACTGGGCTTGCTTCCAGCGTTACCTTGGAGGTCTACTGGAGGATGGTAGGTTTTTCACCAAAATGTCTGGTGCCGTGCATCCCTATACCAAGCAGCAGAATTTAAGCTTATCTGAGGAAGTTGTATGTTACTATAGCGCTGCTAGAAAATATTTTCAGACTTTTTTAAACAGAAATTGATTTGTTTAGCATTTCTGTGCAGTTTGATTCACGTATATCAAATGCTGTGACCCTTGTAGAGAAATTAATGGCTAAGCATGAACAAAGTATTCCAAGATGTTTATACTTAGCAAAAGTTGAAATTGGAAGGATTAAACTTCTGTTTGGGAGAGGAGATGCTGATGTAATAGTTGAAGATCTAGTGCAGTATTTTATGAGGTACACCCAACTTTAGTTATGGTAGCATTTGGGAGTTATTTAGTCGTAGTCTTTGTCTCTCCTGCTTATTGACTATTTTTCGCACCTTCTACATGTTTATTTTGTTTGTTGTTTTCTCATTTTCATGTTGGTTAGCTCTTGAGTTATAGTTTGATAAACTAGTTCATGGATGTATGTTTCTGAGTCTAGGCTACAGATTCAGATCACTTGTATCACTATGCTTCCATTATTAAATCAACAATTCTATTATAAATAGGTCACAGCACTCCATTTTCAGATGTCCACTAGTCTCTTTCCAATACACTCCTAGAAGTGCAAATGATCTTTCAGACTTTTTTGCTAAATGTGGTGTTTTGGTTGGCGAGGAGCTCTTTGCTCAGCTTTATTTTATTTTGTAGGTTTTATAGTGCTCTCTATTTTTGACTTCCTGGCTTCTGCAGAGTGCTAGGAGTCCTTTCTTCCTATCATTTGTGTTCATCATTCCATCGTTATACAGGTTTGGTCACTTCGGTTGCTTAATGTCAGAGATTACAATGTTAGTTGAAGTTCTTGATCATGATAGAAAGAGCTTGCTATTGAAGAAATTATTGGAGTGTTGTGACGCTAGCAACAACTTACCAATTAAAGCACTTGGGCAGTCAATTTCTATTCTGAAACTTCGGGACATGATTGACGACAACATGCAAACTCTTTCGATTGAGGGTATGAATAAATCCATATTCTTTTTAATATTTAGCTGGTGGTGCAATTTCAAAACTAATATATACTATCTTGAGCTGCATATAATGATGGGGTTATCTCAATAATGCCTTTGATGGGTACAGGCATAGGTAGGATGTTGGAGGATATTGCACATTTAAAAATTAAAAGAAAAATGAATTAGACAGAATTATGATACGCAAAAGAAAAAAAACGGAAAATCATGTTAGTTATTAGTGGATTTAGTTTCTTCCATAATAACTATATTATCTTGCTTTCAACTAAAAGATAAATTTTGGTTGTTTATATAACGAGATTTTAATGAGAAAGGCAGCCAAACAGCTTTGCTGTGGGATCATATAGGAATTGGTGAAAAAGTGTGTGTGTGCATATATAGTTTTGCTAATGCATTGAGGGAAGGTAGCGAGCTATGTCAACAATGTTACACCTGATATATGCTTGGAGCCGGGAAATCATATAACTAGTACCATCTGTAAATACTTAACCTATTACTTCAATTATTGTTACAATTATATGCAAATCTAAGGGTGTGTTTACTTTGTAGGATATTATAATCTCTAATATTATTTCAATAGATTATATAATTGTGACTAATTAATATCATGTTTACTTTGCTTGATTAAATATAGGGATACTATAGAATTTTAGACGAATATTACTTAAGATAATATAATTCCACCTAGTTAGATAGGTTTAGTTATCATTAATTAGTTATTAATATTCTGGGCTTTAATCAACTCAGGTTTTAATATTCTGCGGTACACTAAAGGGTCTTTGAACTTTTTTTCTTTCAACCACTTCACAAATGCATCAGCTACCTGTTTTGAAGGAGTGAATGAGAGAGCAATTTTGAACCTCATCATAGCAGTGCATACAAGGTTTTGTATCTCTGTTTCTCTAACAAAATTAATCTCCTCTTACAAAAAATAAAAAAAATAGCACTACATATACCTTTTGAGTGCCTTTAATATTTTTGTGTTTGATACATTTTGTTGGCGTGGAAGCCTAATCCTCAACTTATATGCTTGAGTACCAATAGTGCATTATTGTGTGTTTATATATCCAAGTTAAATTTCGAAAATTTTCATATTCTTGTGGTTTTGGAGAACAAAAAAGAAAAATCAAAAGTGAATGAGATAATTTAATTTCCAACTAGCCTTCTATATTCTCCAGGATCAATCAGGGGCTCTCTTGTTTAGGAAGTAACTTCATGTTTGGATCTATAAGAGAATTCACAATCTTACATTCAATCATGCTAGTTCAAGAACGTACTTTCTAGATAGGATAACATATTATTTGATTAGGTAAACTTTGTTAAGAAGAAATTCAAGGCTCCATCTCAATACCAATCGGTGATAAGAGGAATTCTCTTTCACCTTTATAAACAAAGGGGATTTCCCAACATTTACTCATGTGGACTAACACTTAAGACTTAACACTCTCACTTGAGATGATATTTTATCACTGTAGAAAAAATATTTATGTGTTCAAAATAATATTGTTGTAAGTTACGGTCAGTTATTTAGTATAAATTTAGGTTTAATTCTTGTTTTATTTCTAATTAAATTATGTTTTAATTAGTTTTAATTTCTATTCAATAGCTAGTTAATTTTCTGTAATTTAGCTAATTAATTCTTGTAATTTAGCTAACTAGTTGTTGTATCTTTTCTATTTAAACCTGTACGGTTCAGAAATAATATACAAGGGAGAATTGTGTTATTTGAATCTACATGGTATTAGAGTAGGTTCTCTAATCTCTTTTACCCATTTTTTTGTCTTTATTCCATTTTTTCAATATGGCTTGTTCCCCCAATTTCAACTCTACCAATCATCCTATTTTATCTTATTCAACTTTAGATACTTCGCACTCCTCGATGCAAATTACTGTACACCGCTTGAATGGAAGAAATATTTTTGAGTGGTCTCAGTCTGTCAAATTTGCTATCGATGATCGTGGAAAGATAGAATATTTAACTAGTGAGATTTCCGAGGCAAACACTATTGATCCTTCTTATCGTTTTTGGCAATCTGATAATTCCTTGGTCACTGCTTGGCTTCTCAATTCCATGGAGGTTTCCATTGCTAAGCCACACTTGTTCATGAAGTCTGCTAGAGAGGTTTGGGAGTCTATTTGGGCCATTTATTCTGATCTTTAGAACTTTCTCAGATCTTTGACTTGAAGATTCGATTGTGGCAATCCAAGCAAGGCATCCGTGATCTTACAACATATTACATTTAGATGGTCTCCATGTGGCAAGAACTGGACCACTGCTATGATGAGAAGTGGGAGAGTCCCTCAGATTGTGCCAGACAAAAGAAGAGTGAGGAGAATGACCGAGTGTTTATGTTTCTTGCAGGTGTTCATCGTCATCTTGACGAAGTTAAAGGGCAAATTCTTGGTTGTAAACCTCTTCCTTCAATACGTGAAGTTTTTTCTGCAGTCCGGCTAGAAATTAATACTCTGGAATAAATTTTAATCCTATTTTATATATTAATTATGATTGAAAAGACTGTTAATCGGATAAATATCGATAAATATAAATATAAAATATAAAATATATAATAATATAATAATAATAATAATAAAGGTAATGGTGATGAAGATAATATTTATAATAATAATAATGGTAATAATAATAATATAATATAATATAATATATATAATATATATATAATAATAATATAATTATATATATATAACAAACCTTACCTGCGAAGCGAAGGAAGGCAGAAGACGAAACGCGAAGTAGAAGAAAAAAGGAGAAGAAAAGAAAGGAAGAAAAAGATTGATTCTTGAATTTTTAATCCCTGAAATTGAGCCATTAGAGTTGCCAAAAAAGTATCATCATTCCATCCAAAAAGCAATAATGTTCAAGAGGCTAATCGGTTTGGGAAGGCATATGAACAGAGAATCCAGCATTCAAAGGACAAATTTATCACATCAACATACACTTCCATCTCTGAACCAGAACCGGAACCTCTCCTTAGTGAGTCATGTGATCTAAATCTTCCAATTGCCATTAGAAAGTCAAGACGTTCTTGTGTTAAATATCCTATGTCTAATTATGTTTTCACTTCAAAACTCTCACCACAATACTCTGCCTTTACTACAAATATCTCTTCTATACAAATTCCTCACAATATCCAAGAAGCTCTTGAAAGATCGGAGTGGAGAAAAACTGTTTTGGAATCAACGAGTGCTCTCGAAAAAAAATCAAACATGGAAAGTTGCAGAGCTCCTAAAGGGAACTCCTACGGTTGGTTGTAAGTGGGTATTTACTCTAAAGTATAATAGTGATGGATCTCTTGAACGATACAAGGCTCGCTTGGTGGCTAAGGAATTTACTCAAACATACGGTATTGATTATACAAAAACCTTTGCGCCTGTTGCCAAACTAAATACAATCCGAATTCTTCTTTCAGTGGCAGCTAACTTGGATTGGCCGCTACAGACAATTTGATGTAAAGAATGCTTTTTTGAATGGGAAACTAGAAAAAAAAGTCTACATGCTACTGCCACCAGGATTTGAAAATAAGTTTGGTTCTAAAGTATGCCGTTTGAAGAAAGCTTTGTACGGACTAAAGCAATCGCCAAGAGCCTAGTTTGAAAGATTTACGTGCACTGTGAAGGACGAAGGTTATACACAAGCCCAGTCTGATCATGATACATTATTCATTTGATTTTCCAACAATGAAAAAATCACTGTCTTGATAGTCTATGTGGATGACATTCTTTATACAGGTGATGACCATGAAGAGAATGAAATGATGAAGATTGGACTCTCCCAAGAATTTGAAATTAAAGATCTCGGTGAGATGAAGTATTTTTTGGGTATGGAAATTGCTAGATCGAAACAAGGGATTGTCGTATCCCAAAGAAAATATATTCTCGATCTATTAAAGGATACTGGAATGAGTGCATGTCGACCCTCAGACACACCTATAGATCCTAACAAGAAGCTTGGGAATGTTCAAAAAGGTAAACCAATAGATGTGCAACAATATCAACGACTAGTGGGGAGATTAAACTATTTATCTCATACTAGACCTGACATAGCATTTTCTGTAAGTTTGGTAAGCCATTTTATGCATTGCCCATATGAAGCACATATTGAAGTTGTCCATAGAATCCTCACATACTTGAAAGGCTGCCTGGAAATGGCTTAATTTTTAGAAAGGAAGCAAATCGGACAATTGAAGCATTTACTGATGCTGACTGACCAGGGTTAGTTACTGACAGAAAGTCCGCCACAGGTTGTAATTTTGTGTGGGGGAATTTAGTGACTTGGAGGAGCAAAAAACAAAATGTTGTTGCCCGGAGTAGCGCTGAACCTGAGTATCGAGCAATGGCCAATGGAATATATGAAATTTTGTGAATCTAAGAGATTTTTCAAAGATCTGACATTGGAGCTTGAGTTGCCTATGAAACTCTTTTGCGACAATAAGGCAGCTATTAGCATTACCCAAAATCTAGTTCAGCATGACCGCACTATACATATTGAGATGAATAGACATTTTGTGAAAGAAAACTTGGAAGCAGGAATAATTTGTTTTCCTTTTGTTGCATCTGAAGACCAAACAACAGATATCCAAACTAAGGGATTGACTAAACCATCATTTGACTTGCTTGTAAACAAGTTGGGGCATGTTTGACATTTATGCACCAACTTGAGGGGTGTAGAAAAAATATATTTATGTGGTCAAAATAATATTGCTGTAAGTTAGGGCTAATTAATTCCTGTAATTTAACTAACTAAATGATGTATTTTTTCTATTTAAACTTGCATAGTTCAGAAACAATATACAAGGGAGAATTGTGTTATTTGAATCTACAACAAAACAAAATCATAACCATGATCAATATCATACCCAATATGGGTACCCATGGTTGTAATACCATGTTAAGAAGAGATCCGGGCTTCATCTCAGAATCAATTGATAATGAGAGAAGTTTCGTTTCACCCATATAAACAAGGAAGCTC